CAATAAATTAAATAAAATACCCATTCCGACTAAAATTATTGGTAAAAATTATTATTTGCTAAAATTTTCCATAAACCAATCAAGTTGACTAATTATATACCTTTTTTTAGAAAATTTTCCAGTTCCAAGTGTTGAAAGTATAACATTTATAAATGTCATTACTGGTAGAAATAAATCTGAAGGAGCATTGTATGTAATATTTTATATGAATTATGCAATATGCTTATGATTATAGTTTAGTTGATTATTGCCATATCATCTTATATTCAGCAAAAATATCGTTCAAGATTATCTTGATAGTGACAACTTGGTAGACATTCCATACTTTATCCAATTCGATCGTATCCTTTTTATATAATTGCAAAACATTATATTATTAATACTTATTATGTTTATCATGCATTAACTCATAATTAACTCATTATTGACTTTAGATATCAATTCTGCATTCATAGCTATTTCTGTCTATATCACCACAGAATCTATTCCCATCAATCTTCGCCCATATCTAGAAATTTATCTCGAATCATTTTATAGCTTGCCATTGAATAGACCTAATGGTGAACATTTAACATTTGAACAAGTGGTTAATGAACTGAACAAAGATACCGTTAGCTATGAACATAATCTGGGAATTAAAGGTTATGAGGGAATGATTTGTTTCTCTGTCAAAGTTGAAGTACGTTAAAAATTTAAAGATACGAACTTTCTAGTGCTAATAGGCAATGAAAAGAGTTACTTTTTAAAGAATCATTTATTTTGTTTGAAATTAACTGTTAGGCTTCCAAATATGCAACCGGAATTCAATGGTTACGTGATTTGTTGTGGAACTCAGAATTTACTGCCGAAAGGTGATTTTAAGACATTTTTTTACGATAATTTATTTCGATTCATTAATCCTTTTTTTTCATTTCTTCCTAGGCTTAAAATTTGTGCATCAAAACTACTAAATGACATTCCACAAGCTAAGCGCGAAGGATATGATGTAAGTGTTCTGATATTCAACATTCTAAGACAATTTAAATTTGTGATTTAACATAAACTTGTCTTTCTAAAAAAAAAATAATAATAATAAAATAAAGATGGCACGGGATGTGCTACAAACAATTCATTATGATCGCTTGCGTTCAAATAAATATGTATTATGTACCTTGAATCAAGAGAAAGTTTTACCTGAAGCCATTAAATTATTGGAAGAAAATTCAGCAAAAGCTATTGAAATGTTTACAAAGCTTAAAGAGATCTGTATGCTTTATGTTATTTTATTTTTCGAATTTTCTTGTATTTTCATAAACTTGTTCAAATTGTTTCTGTTTATTTAGTGATTTCTCCAGAAAATTTCAGAATTCATGTGAGTGGAAATATTCTGCAATTAAAAAATCCTAAAAGTACATGGGCAGAAAATTTCAGAATTATTTCGGTAAGTAGATAACACACTTTAACCGAATAACATTTAATTATCACATATTTATGTCATATTACTATATATGTTTATGCGTCATTTTAGAGTACAAAGCCTTTGTCGCCTATTCCTTTACCACAAAATGTCTTGACTGAATCGGGACATAATCCTGGTAACAAGGTACATTTCTCGATATTATATTTTCATTGTTGAGATTAAAAGTCAATTGACATTACGTTTATGTTTCCGTATTTACATTAGGGATTCATTGTTAAGCTTCCTGCTATTGAAAATAATTTTGCTATTCATGCAACAAAAGGTGGTCTAACATTTATTATTAACGTGACATCAAATGAAGTATTTGACAACAATCAAAACTTTTTCTTATTTATTTAACAATTTCATATTTTATATTTAAGGCCCGACTACTTTTGACTCACCGGATCTAGCTCCTTTGCTTGTACTATGTGAACTTTTACACACAATGGAAGGTGTATTTTGGAGAGTAATTCGTGGTCAAGGATTAGCTTATAGCGTTTGGCTTAAAGTTGGTGTAGAATCAGGTTGGTTATTCTGATAATTTTTAATTATATATTCACTTTCAATGAATTAATATTCATTTGTTTATTTACCAATTTATTTAAGGTCTTATTTATTTTACCATATACAAGTCACCTGATGCATATAAAGTATATAACCAAGCTAAGAAAATTGTAGATGATCTAGCTTCTAAAAAGGTTCATTTTATTTGAGTGGATGTTATGGCAACATTCTGTATTATCTTTACTGGTTATCCATTATTAATATTTGAATCATATATAGATTAAGTTTGATAAGTGTGAATTAGAAGGTGCAAAAAGTGGGGTCATTTATAGTCTTGTCAGTAATGAGGTAATAAACAATTTAATCGCTTATTTTCATTATTATATTTTTTGGACTAATTT